ATCCAGTTTGGAAGTAATGAGACTTGTTCCATAAAGTGATAAAATTTATGCCATAAATTATCTCCAAGAGAACAGTGCTTCACGAAGCAAGCTTCTCATTTGTTGGGACTAGATTTAAAAAAAAAAAAATAGTTGTTCGAATGGATTGCCTTGTTAAAGGGAGCTGAGCTATATTTTCTGTGATAACTTTTGCTCATGATCAAAGAAATGAAACAAACCTAAGTGCATGAAGCTTGATATCACTCAGTCATTTATTTAGTTATTGCAACAAAACTTGGACCCTAGAATATATCCTAACCATCCTCATGTCTGCCCATCAGCCTTTCATAGTATTCTCAGAGACCTTTCCAGGAATCAAGTTCCTGTTTCTCAGAATGTTCACAAAGTGTTTGAAGTTGTTTTGTTGGGCTTTGTATTTTGTTCCTTTCTGGAAAAAAAAAGAAAGAAAGAAAAAGAAAAGAAAGCATATGTTTCAAAGCAGGATTTTTTTTTTTTTTTTTTTTTTTTTTGCTAAAGTAATGTACTTTATAGTATACTAAAATCACTGTGATAAATAAGTACTGTTCATCTAGGCCCACATTATAGGTAGGACTAGCTTGTTGTCAGGCATAGACTCAAGCCTTAAATTTAGTTAGCACAGTGTTTTCTGGTGTAATAAAAGCCTATAATCATCTACTGCTAGCTAAGCTAGTCGATGCAGTGCTTGGAGATTGACTCACCTGTGATTGGCACAATGAATGTTATGAATTTAAAATTACCTTTACAGAGTGAGTTTATGTCTGTTGCCATAATATTTGGGGCCCAAATAGATTTTTCATGACTCACAGTCAAGGATCTGTTCACTCAAAGTGCGCTTTATAATATTTAAATAAAACGCAAATGTCCCATGAGTCAAAATCCTTTCCACATTTGATGAGCACAAAGTTGCGAGAGGTGTGACTCGGCAGAGAGCAAAACACAGATGCCGCATCAAATCTGCAAAACTGTAGATTTTGTTAAATATTTATTGTCATGCTAAGATGTCTTCTATGTGCTGAGAGTTCGGAACTGAACAATGTAGTATAAGCAGCTTAAAAACCTAAGAAGGCAGAAGGCAAGAACAAATGAAAAATGTTAAGAAGAAAAACAATAATAAAAAAAAGAATCCATGAACTAAAGGTAGCTTTTGAACAGGAAGCATAGGGGACAGAAAATGGGGAGCTGCCCTATGCTTATTGGAACATGCAGACTGGAAATTGTATGACAGACCTTATTGACAGTGCTCATTTCTTCCTGAATACTTTGAACAATGGCACCAGCAGCCACCCATAATTCCCGATGACTCAATTGTCATTTAGCTCTCATATCAAAGTTTTCCTCAGGTATGGAAGAGTGTTTCTCAGATATTCAGAATGTAAATTAAAAAAATTGCATTTTTATAAACACATAGATAATTCAAACCAACCAGTGTGCTAAGCCAGTGTCTTGTAATCTTACTTTGACCCTCCGTGATGGGCACCTTAACACCCACATTCTCACAAAGAAAACATTTACAATTGTCTAAAGTTATTTTGCTGGTCCAGTAACTTATGTTTCTGGTTCCCAGGCTGCTTTTCCAATTTAAGATGTCGTAGAATATTCACAACACCGTTTCCAAGATTCCAATCCATCCTCTCTGCTCACCAAACATTGTCAGGTCACTTTTCAGTTCAATTTCAGCTTCAATATCTTTGGAAGCTAACCATTTTTAACCAGAAGTATCTTCTAGGTTCCTGTTCTTCTACCAAGGCAGAAAATTTACACTCTAGTCACCTAAGCCAATATTTAAGACACTGCTTGCTTTATCATCATATTCATCTAATATATACACATATATGAGTTCAGGAACAAGAGACCTTTATAATCTACGGCCAATGGGGACAGCATTTGTCACAGATGCAATGAATTTGGGGGCAGTGGGAGTTACAGATTAACTGTGTAGTCACTGCTTACAGCCCCACACTAACAATTACAAACCACCAAGTTAGAGATATCACAAATTTCTAAGGCACATATAGTATTCGTGCCATCTAATATGTGCCTTACCAAATAAATATAATCTGTAATCATAGTTGTAAATACATTTTGTGAAAATGTAAATGTAGAAAATATTATTTTTTTAATATTTCTTAGAAGTAAATAAATCTCTGGGATTTCTTTGAAAGAGGAAATAAAAAATTTGGAATGGTATAATTTCATCATCTTCCTTCCCAAATATTTAGCTGACAATAGCTCCATCCATTCTTATTTCTGCAAAGATAAAAAAAGTAGTAAAAATATTTTCCCATGTACTTATTTCAGTATTCTCTGTTTCCTCTTAAGACGGCTTTATTCCTTAATCTTTGATTTTATGGAAGCATTTTTAGGTAATCTGTAGTTGTCACATTGAAGGATCCGATAAAAGAAAATTTGTAAGCAGCTCAGCACTTAAGATCTGACTCTTTATCAGAAACACCAAACCTTGCAGGTTTACCCTGTAAGATGGGAGGGATTTAAAAATCTGAATTTAATGTCAAAGTAGCACAGTGGTTGATTCTGCTAACTTACCACTGTTTAAAAAGCGTCTTTTCAAAAATGCCAAGGAAAGCCGAAGCCACGGGAAAGTCAGATTGAGAAAGAGATTGGCAATGTGGTCAGAGCAAGTAAGACTTGTCAGGGCTGGCAGGGGCCTCACTAGAAGTCAGCGAGTTGAATTGGACTAAACGCTGAGCACCAGAATTTGTGAAGAAGTGAAGGCTGTGGAGGCTGCAGGCAGGACTCTTCAAACAGTCCTGGAACACAGACTGAACACTGGAGACGTGAAGGCAGTTTGGAGAGTGGACCTACTGGGCTGGGGCACACCGAGCCTGGAGGATGCATACTGTAGGGAATGACAAGATAAGGTTGCAAAGAGAGATAACTTGAAAGAACAAATTAATAAAAGGAAAAGAGGAACTAGCATGACCACAAGAATTTAAGACCAGATTCTGGGATAGAACATTAATAACTCAGGGTCAAGGACAACCGGGATGTACTAAGAATTACAAAGATAGTTTTATCTTCCTATTTTTTCCTCACTCAAAATCCCTTTAAAATCTCCAGTATACTTTTATCACTAAAGCCCTGGACTCTCAGATCTTCCCAAGAGTACTTCTTGGGATTCCAAGGTGAGCGTCTATCATTTATTCATTTTAGTCTTCATCTGTTCATTTCTCTCCAAGACACCACCAAGCATAATCCCAGGCTCCAAAACTTGAACATGCCACAATCTCCCCAAATACAGTCCAAATGACATGATAAATGTCCCTCTTACACTTCATAATTCCATTGATAAACTTCAATGGGAATTTTATGCACTAACTGCAAAAGTAAGTAAATTTCTCAACAAGAAGTATATATCCTCTATAAACCAATTTTCCCAATGTTAGTGGTCATTCCCTGGACCTGGCATTAGTAGTTATTCCCTGGACCTGGCATACATGGACAAGTATGAACATTACACAATATCAACTACTCAGATGAGGACACAATGCATGGTGCTTCTTGTTATCAAACGACAGAGTGGAATTCGATTACACCTTCAAATCTCTGCCCTGTACTTATCCATGGAACCTAGAAAAGCTGTTGAATGTCTGCCAAACTAGTCAGTCACCTATGAGATGAGGATTAAATGCATTTTCCTTTATTTGACTTGGGGCAGAAATGAGAAAATTGATAACACATACTTCCTTAATATAGTAATAACTAATAAATTTCAAAAGCACGAGAAAGCATAGAATAATGCAATGGATTGTTCTATACTGTGTAAACTTAAATGGTATGAATCTAAGTGTTACCTTCAATAAGTTGATCCATCACACTAAAACATAACAATATTTTACTGCAGCTTTTATTAACTAATCCACAAACTAAGACAATTCCTTTTGGGCTATTGTTCCTCAAGCACAAAATGGAGAGCAAACATTTTTTTTTTTAAATAATCAATTCACTGTTTTCTATTCCACAAACTACTTAAGTCAGGAAACACTGATTACCCAAATTACTTAATTCTGAAAGAACCAGGAACAGGAAAGAGCATTTCATTAGATCAGTTTGTAGCCGTAGAACTGTGGCATCACGCTTCAGACAAAAGTTCCTAAGAGCAACTAGCTTGGTTGGAAGAGCATGCGCAGTGTGCGACTTCTTAGAGCACCAACTTTTTATCCCGGGAGTCCAAGCCTAAACTCATGAAGAAGTAAAGCTAGAATCTATACAGGAAGAAAGGGTCACTGGCATTTTCTAGGAAAAGAAACTGAGCATCTATTCATTCATGGTTGGTAAGTACTGTAAAGTTGAAATTTTCTTCCAGCTTTGTATTATATTAATTATCTTCTCATTTCCATTTTAGAGTCTTTGACTCTTGCTTAAACCGTGGCTTTTTAGGTCAATTGATGTTAGCTCACTTCTCAAAGTAAGCAGGGAAGGTACAAGGTACTCGGAAATTATCTCAGGAGACTGGATCTTGTTTGAATCCCAGCTAAAACTTTCTGTAACATCCACAGTAAGAAAGTGCCATTTGAGCTTAAGTTGCCTGAACAAGCATTCATAAAGAGGGTCAGGATATGAGCTTAACATTTTCTCGCTTCCTAGAAATCCACCTTTCTTAGAAAGCGAAATAACCAATGGCACAAATTGTTTCATATGTTTTACTATTACCTCCTTCCCCAGAGGAAGGCAAAGCAGTCAGTGCATCTGGAAACAACCACTTGACAGGTTTTGTGTCCAAACACTGCTCTGCAAAGCAGAGGTGCGGAACAGTTTCCTATTCACAGAAACCTGCGTTATGCTTCCCAACACATCTTGGCTTGGATATACAGGTTGCCTTCCTTTGTGGGGCAGAATGATCACACACGTAGTAAATGGAATGAAAGTCGATATAAACACTAATGTCTTCTCTTCTGACAGCATATGAATGTACAAGCATTGAGTAGGAGAAAAGGGGCTAATTTGAGATTTGTTCCTAGCCCTCTCCATGTGAATGGTGTCGCTGTGAGCCCAGCAATGAAGTTCACTGTGTTGTAGCTGACTGCGCAGTTCCTGAGTGTGTCAACCCAATCTATGAACCAGAACAGTGTTGTCCTGTCTGCAAAAATGGTAAGAATGCCCTGCATTAGCTTTCAAGAAGGGGTTAGGAAAAGACACCAGTATTTCACACCTGCTCGCCACTCAGTACAAGAGCCCTCCAAGACCTGCCTCTAGATTTTCAAAATGACGGAGATGTTTTTGAAGCTTTAAAATAAAAATGTGCTAGGGATGAGTGAATGGAGTAGCTTTTCATCTGGGAATTAGAGCTCTCATAGGTTGGCATTGTTGTGACCCTGATTATTGATTGCTGTTTTATAAAGAGATTATTAGAGAGAACACAGTAGCATATTTTTGTAGTGGCTGTTCGTCTTCTCTCTATCTTGGAGCCTGCAAATCAGTTTGTTTTTTTTTTTTTAATGTTTTTTAATGTTTGTTGTTGTTGTTGTTGTTTTTTATGGTGTATAGTGCATCCTCAGACAGAGACTGGAGCAAGTTCCAGAAATTTTGATTTGGACATAAACAAGACTTCAAGTTTAAAGTTGTCCAAAGAATATAAATTCAATTAAGTGTACTTAAATTCAAGCAAGAAAGACTGACTGATGAGTGTGTTGAAGAGGGGTCCTCTAGATTTTCATAACAGAAGATCCCTATCCTCACAGAGGCTGGTAAACATGAGGAGGTAACTTGTATATAGGATTAAGGGTTCATTTTTCCCCTTTTTAAATGGGATAGGTGAGAAATCTTACAGTATCTTAGCCATCTGAAATCATGAGTGCCCTAAAGAAGACCTGGCAAAGGAATGGCCACCCAGGACATCCTATCAGCAAAGATCGTACAATCACATTCTTCCTAGTGGGCCTGTCCTGCCAAAGGCAGGGGGAAATAGTTCACTAGCTAACAGTCCACAAATGTTCCCTTGGCATTTGCATGTTCTCAGAAGGGAAAGTGGTCCTAACCCCCAATGATTAATTGATGTGCTCTTTGATGGGGAATAATGACTATCTTCTAGGATATCATATATATATATATATATATATATATATATATATATATATATATATATATATTTCTGTTAACTCACCTAGTAATCTTTTCCTTAACAGATGGATTGGCATCAAGTTATTTAAAGACAAAACAAAAGTGACTCCCATTATTTTAAAAATAAATTTTGTGGCTGGGAATCTTCCCAATGTACTAATAACGACCCTTTCTGATGTTTTTCCAGACATAAGCTTTCCTGTTTCTGATCATACAAATCTATTATGTTAAGATATTAAATTGTTCATTTGGCTTCTCTATTTTTCTTACCCAATTGACTTACAATAACTATCTCTGTCTCAAGAGCTGCAAATAAATACCCTCCCCCATTAAGCTCTAATGTGCCTTGTATATGCAAAGATAAATGATTTAAAACTTCATATTTCTTAAAATGTTAAAGAACGTGGAAAAGATACAAGAAAGAACAGTAAGATGATTTAATGGTTGAAAAATAGGACCTGGGAGGACAGACTGAAGGAGTTAGCATAATTTGTCCGGAAGAGAAGGCTCAGGGGAGAACTAACTGTCATGAAGTATATGAATGGTTAGTCTAAAGTAGAAGAGGACTTGTTATTTTTCATTTTCTCCAAGGATAAAAAGAAGGAAAGCTCAGCTATCCAATCAATCTTTAAAAACAGGACTGACAAGCCTTTAACTGAAGAAGAAAGTAACCATCTACAGGTCCTTGAGAATATGTTTTCCCCTGGGTGGTCCTTGTTGACTTTGCCAAGCTTTTAGAGTAAGTGCCTACACTTTATGACTTGTCGGTCCACGCTCAGTATTCTTTCAGAGTTAGAGACTCTAATCCACAGATTTAGGAAGCAATTTTAATGCACGTATCTTAATAAATCACCCCAGATACCCCACACAAAGCCTACAGCACATCTAAACTTCAAGTCTAGTCAATTATTCAAGCTAGTTATATTTTTATATGCGAGTACTAAAAGATAGCTTGCACTTATCAGATATTAGAAATTTGTCTTCAAATAAAACCCTCTTTGTACATGTGTAATGGATGAACTTTAACTGAGTCACCTATTCATATAACTGATGAGTCCATGCTTAGTGCATAAAGCTTCAAGGGCATTAAGTTTTCTGTTGCTATGTCGATGGCACAGCAGACAAGGGCCAATTCTGCTTTGTCTTGCTACTTCCAAACAAACTTTACCCTTTTACAAACAATAAAGGGGAATGATTTGACAGCTGTCCTCAAAACATAAGGTACGACCAATGCCAAAGGACTTTGACCAAAAGGATTTTGAGAGCCCCTAAGACCTGTATGTTATTAGTGAAGAAGACTGAACCCATGCTTGATTTGCTAATTTTCTGAACATAGTTAAGAAAATAAAAGCAGATGCCACATATGTAGAAAAGCTAGAGGGAAAATAAATACCATGACAAACTGTAAGTAGGAGTGTCCTGAAAATTCCAACATATTGTAAGCCAATCTCATTACCTTAGAAGATAGAGATGTTCATTATAGTGAAAACTATTATATAAAAGTATGCTTCCTCTCTTCTTAGATTAAAGTAAAGGTACAATTTTAAAATATGCCTATGGATTTCAGGTACAGGCAACAGAGTATAATTTATACACAGTATTTTTTTAACATTTTGTTCATTTTCTTAAATCTTTATAGATGCTGATGATCTTGGCAGACAAATATTTTTGGTTTGCATAAATGCTGATTGTCTTGGCTGTCAAATCCTTCCCCTTTTGCATAACAAGATTGATTTTCCTGGCTTCTTGGGTTAGACTAAAGCAAGATGCATTAAAGATAGAAACTAAACATTTGAAATTATAGACTCTATCATATCTAATCTTAAATTTTAGTATAAGCTAATATAAAAGTCTTTGCTTTGAGATTATTTGTGAGCAAACAGAGCAAAGAAACAACAATATATTTGTTTCTTGAGAAACAATGAGAACCATAACAATTATTTCAGAATGGAGTATTCCTCCTTTTATAAAATGCTAGCTAGTCTGTTCCCTAGATAAATAATGATTCACTTTCTTTTTTTCTCAATATAATTTGTAAATATCAATTTGGGAACAAGAAACTTCTAGAATTTTTTTCTAATTATGTTAAGAATGAAGGAGAATTTAAAATTTCTTCATCTTGATGATTATCTCAAGTAGAATGTCTACTGTTTCTGAATAAATACAAGCAAACCATAAAAAGGCTTTATTCTTATTCAATTTAGCTCAGCACTAAGAAAAACTGTCAGTGTATGTAATCATAGTAAGAAAACATCAGTGAAAGATTTGAATGGTAGGCATTGTGTGTATAATCATATTAGAGGAAAAATAAGTAAACTTCTACTTGAGGTACAGGCACATGAATCCACTGTTTTTACTAATACTCTTAGACAATTGCACCTCTTTCCTCTGCACCCCTGAAAGAGCTGCTGATCCAAACGCCCTCTTACAAAATACAAGACATTTTCTTTTTTTTCCAAGTAGAAATTTTCTTTTTTCTTTCTTTTTTTCTTTCTTTCTTTCTTTCTTTCTTTCTTTCTTTCTTTCTTTCTTTTTTTCTTTCTTACAATTTATTCCCTTTGTATCCTGCCTGTAAGCCCCTCTATCTCCTCTCAATCTCACTTGTCCTCCTTCTTCTCCTCTATGCCCCATCCCTCATCCACTGATAGGGGAGGACCTCCTCCCCTTCTCTCTGACCCTAGCCTCTCACCAGGGCTGAGTGAATCTTCTTTCTCTGTGTCCTGGTAAGGCTGAAACCTGCAGGGGGAGGTGATCAGAGAGCACACCATTGAGTTCATGTCAAAGACAGCCCCTGCCCCCCTTACTAGGGAACCCACTTGGAAACTGAGCAGGCTAACAACAAAGAGAACCCTAGGGAAACTTCACTCAGAAGGGCAAACAGGATAGACATCGGAAGTAGGAGAATACAAGGAACAGGACAGGAGCCTTCCACAGGAGGGCTCTGAAAGACTCTACCCATCAGGGTATGGAGGGAGATACTGAGACTCACAGCCAAACTTTGGGCAGAGGGCAGGAAACCTTATGGAAGAAGGAGAAAGATCTGGAGGGGACAGGAACTGGAGAAAAAGTCAAACAGAACCAAAAAACCTGGGCCCAGGGCAGCCTGCAGAGACCAACACTCCAACCAAGGACCATGCACAGAGAGGACCTAGACTGCCGTGTTCAGTTTACAAGACATTTTCAAACTCTTCTACTTTTATAATATTATCTACCTTTGACTTATCTTTTAGCCACAGGCCTTTCCATGCTAATTAGTGAGCACTCAGTACAGGTGTAGTTGCTTATTTGTTTTAATAATATGCAAAAATAAGTTAGAATTAATATAGTATTTGCTAAAAATGTAACAGTTTAAGGTGTTATATGAATATTATAATATTTGGAAACCAACCATAATATATATATAATCAGTAACCAAGAATATGTATTGTTTTTTGAATGTGAATTAGCATTTATTTGAACTTCTTGTTCTTAATCATTCATGCAACTTTTGAGTTTTCCATGAATCTTAAATCTTTGTTTTAACTCAATAGAAAGCATGTCTATAGATGTCAGACATATGGCTTTGCAAATAAGCATGTTGTCAGTTACTAAATATTTGATCACTAAAGCACCTGAATGGTTCAGTTCGTTTTTATAGACTATGTTTTCGCTGGAATATTGTCAGTCATTACATATGACTCTGAAGGACAAGTTACTTCATGAAAATCTGGGAGAAACAGGACCCTTCCCCAGTCTTCTGTATACATCAAGTGAACAATTCCATCTCTCTTCTAACTAAAGTTAACACAAGCCCTGTTCAAATATTCAACTAACTCCACACTCCTTACTCTCTTTCAGTATTATGGTCATGAAAGGGAGGTCCTCCTCCTCTTTTATCTGACCCGAGCCTATCAGGTCTCATCAGGACTGGCTCCATTGTCTTCCTCTGTGGCCTAGCAAGGCTGCACTCCCCAGGGGGATGTGATCAAAGAGCCAGCCACTGAGTTCATGTCAGAGACTGTCCCTGATCCCCTTACTAGTTGGATAACTTT